GTGCCGAAGATAAAATGTTTAGACGCTTCTCAGCGTGAGAGAAATGGTTTGGGGCTTTTTTTCACTCACTGGTGTAAAAATAAATGTAGCGAGGGTGGTCGAATGAGGTACTTCAATTCAGCAAGCCTGTCACCAGGTTTTCGGTACTTTGTAGCTTCTGGTTATTGGGAGATACTAGAATGAGAGATCCTTTCCCTATGGAACGAACTCTCAGGGCGATTTGACTCCTAACTTTGTTGTCAAAAATGATAGTATAGAAGTAAGCCTATCAGATAGTTGTTAGCAGCTGTTTAATACAAATGTCAGGAAGCTTTGACGTTAGCTTTTACTGAAAACCGTCACCTAGCTACGCTTTCACCTTGAAATGATCCACACGTGTCCTCTTTTCCTTACCCAGCCTCCCCTAGGAATTATGGTCTTAAATTCTGATCTCTTCACATTCAGTTTGAAGTAATAAAGTCAAACACAAGCTAGCATTGAGTACTACTCAGTTATCCCCGTTTCCAGCATATTATTTCCCCCTTTTATGTCTTTTTTCTGAAGAGAAACTTAGAACAGTGTGAAAGAATGTGTCAATTGTTTAAAAAAAAATTAAAAAACTAGATCAATCAAGTAGATATTTATTCTTTGAGACATCAGCTGGTAACTCATTTAGCACAAACTTCATTTGTAATATCCAAAGAGGAGTTCGTGAAATTTAGCTTTTGGTTCAAATAGAAGTTACCCAATAAATGTATCCTTGTCACAGACATTCATCTTCCTACCACCACCCCCCCACCACCATCGCCACCAAATCATCAATATTCTCTGTCTCAGATGCTACAGTCTACCAGGTGCTCAAATGAGAAACCTGGTAACCAGCTCCTTGGCTCACCCCTCTAATGTTTCCATAAATCAATTCCAAAGTCTTATGCATTCTACCTATTAAAACTCGCTAATCCATCTACTTTTCTCCATTTTTATCTTTGACATCTGTACTAGCTTCTGAATTAGTTTCCCTACCCCCACTGTTCCTGCCTTCAATTCATTCTCACTACAGACACGGCTGTTAATAAAAAATTACGAGCAATGCATGTGCTGTGAAGGGATGTTTGGAGTACTATGGAAGCCCATAGCAATGAAACCCAACATAGTATAAGGTTCAGGACTAAGGGGATTTGGTTGCAGAGCTAGAGAAATATCAGATATCCTTTTGCCTTGATCCTGATAGTTTCTGAACTGGGGGG